CATCTGAGTATCTTTCGCAGTCAACAGTACAAATTTAGCGATGATATGCTTAAGTAAAAATATCACTAACAATCTTTATTCATAACATTCATAATGTTTAAAATGGAGTGTATATTATGATGTTGATATAAATATATATTTAAAAGGTCTATTGCTAGTAAAAATTATATAAATTCAAAATGCATTAATAAAATATTAATAATTATCATATAATTATCTATGGAATASCTATATTTTACTCCATTTCTGAATAAATGGATATTTTCACTAGTGAAAATAACACATGCAAGGTTTCTCTATAGTAGAAGTAGGAAAAAAAAGGTTTTTTTTTTCAACATAATTTGCTTTCATTTGTAATCATGTGATATAGAGGATATAACATGGGCGCGCACGCGAACGAGTGAGATATCAATTGAACACGAGAAAATAAAATTAATATTTCCAAGCGGCCATGTAATGTTATATTTATTGTATACATATCGATCTTCCGATCTATTATATAAATATTGATCTAATTGGCCGAAAAAATGTGTCACCATGCAAACAATGATGTCTTCAAGATATTGCATTTTCACAACTAGAGAAAACCTGCTATCTCCTTGATACAGCTATTTCAAAAAACGTTGTCGGGGAGAACGGCGAACGACGATTGTTGAAGGGAGATTGCGCGACCGAAAGGGACTATGGTTACACTGTTTTGATAAACAAAATTTCACTTATTGGAATCGCCTTGCATAGAAATGGAGACTAAATGGAGCCAATGTTTACCACAGACAATCTTACAGTACAAATCAGTTGTTATTGCATTTCAACTAGCAAAACCCATGGCTACTTTCGGTCGTGCAATCGCCGTTCGACAATTGACATTCGCCATTTTATCCGACAACCTTTTTTGAAATAGCTATATGTATATAATAAAAACAGAATATTACATGGGCGCGTGGAGATACGGATTTTATCTTCGAGTGTTGAAAAGATCTCTCACGAGTGAGCGTACAATTAATATCCTCTATTTTAGATAGCATGAATCGCACTTAAAATATACTGAAAAGAAATAGATTATCGATAGAAAAAAAACTGTACTTAAGTATTGTGGGGCGTTTATTATGGATAAAGTGACTTCTGTTATTAGTATAACTAAAAAGAAGCTTTATTTATTTGATATTAATTATCGATAGTTAGCATTAGTACGTCTTTTTCCATATCCACATTCTATCATTTTATTTATTTTGTTTGTTTTGCTTATTTATCGAGGAAATTAATTGAAAGCTCAAAGCTTATTACTTGATAGTCTCTTAAGAGATTTTTTAATAGCTTAAATTCCCAGCATATRATTTAGACATCAATGATCCTTTTTCAGTTAGCCAATGAAATGTCTAGTGCTTTTAAGTCATTTTAAAATATATGTTTTGACGATGTCGGAATGTTTACTGTTGAATACGATTCGTTTGCTAGAGAAATTGCAGTCACTAGGCATTGGATTTTAGGACTTTAATACCCTAGAAAGATGTAAGTAGACCCARTAATATCCTTAAGAAGGCCATAAAATCTAACTTCCAAGTTTTGATCTTTTTTGGATACGTACAATGGTCTTAAAACTGAATAAAATGGCAGTTGACCTATATTGTAAATTTCGATTGAAAATTGTGACCTGTAGTTTTTAACGATGTTCACATATACTTRTTAACAACCATTATTTATATCTATATATAACAAAAAATATTACTGATATGCTGTGCATGTATGGATGATATACATTAAAAAATTTAAGCCAGTTAACTGCGCTCAAGAGCAGCTGAAATATGTAAGTATTTTGAGACATCTAGTTAATCCCGCCTTTTTTACTATGACAATATAGGAAAAGCACCCTTGTTGACGTCTGTGGCATATTTTTCCTTACCTTTTTATCGCTCTAAATGGTGTATCACAAACACCCTTCGGGGAACATTTTACTGTGCACTGTACAGTTTGCCACTGTTAACGTTTTGACGTCATTAATGACGTCATGATATAGCTTTAAACGATTTCATTAAGCCTTTTGAAAACGTTAGATAAACAATATGAATCAAACAAAAAGGTCTTTTGATTAAGAAGATATTTGTTTCAAACATGTTGTGTTTGTAGTTCTTTCACATAAACCCCTGAAATAAATTTTAGTAGTCAATTTATGGTTAAAGGTAGAGTGGTTTGCACTTTATTACTCTTTATTTTGATTCCTTTTCTTGTTTTTTTTTTTTCGTGGCATTGCACCTTACTGTACTTTGTCTACTTTTGTCTCACGGGTTGAAGAAACACGCTCCAAAAGAATAGGTGAAAAATAGAGAGTCTTTGTATGCTTAAGTGTATTTCACGGGTTTGTGATACATGCTCTARTTTGTCTTATTCCTCGTACGCACGTTAAAAGCACATCTATTCATTCGGCGTAACTTTAGGCAGTTGGTGGTACCTCAACAAAAGATTCCAAGGTTGTCAGATGCTATTACCCCTAATATGCTATAGATCTTTTGTCTTCGGATTAAATAGGTTAGGACGAAGTTATGGCCACACGAAATTGTGAAACAGATTGAATATTCCTCAGGAAATTACTTTTAATCACAATAATAGCTTCAAGTACAATTTCTGTTTATGTAGCTATTACAGATTTGCTCATTTTGAACACTGTTTGTATTTCTGACTGCGCTCGCTGGGAGAGCTAGGATTAAGTTGAGAAAGGTTGATCGAGGGCATGATTAAATTGGAGATTAAGTATTAGAATTAGTTATGTACGCGTGGAGCACCTAATACAAATATCAGTTATCTAAGAGCTAAGTTTTTTTTTACGTATTTTCGTCTAAGCTTTCGAATCTTCAGCTCATCTTTATTTTCAAGAAACTTGCAGAAAATACAAGGAAAACGCATCGCATTGTCATGGACAATGTTTGATTAGGACTGTGAGTGTGTCGTGGTTGTTTTTTTTTTAATGATTGTAAATACGATTTTTATTAAAAATTCAGTAGAATTATCTAGTATTAATCATTAATATATTTCCAGTTATAAAATGGTTCGTGAATTCATGATTACTTAATACATCAATGTCACATTTCTTTTTTCCTTTGAACTTTTTCCTCAAGAATAATATTACGTTGACCTGTTACAGAGATTTTCTCTTCTTTTCTAGATACTTTTTTTTCATGTTTTTTAAGCACAAATAGAAAATAAATAAATAAAAAAGAAGCGAACCGTCTAGAACTCGGGTACCTAAAACTAACTTCTTTATATTTTCAATATAAGGTAAAAATAATTGCAAATCTTGACTCCAGGGAAGAAATACGTTTGACTACCAATTGCATTTGAGTTTGATAATCTATTTTAATCCAGTTTGAAGGATAAAATGCATATGCACCACAAGAGACTAATTCCGTATTGATATTACTCTTTCTCGTTTGTTTTTATCAAACACAGAAGCCATTCATCAAGAGAAAGAGGCGATACCCAAGACCTCAAAGAAGCGCCTGATTTTTTCCTGGTTTTCCCGCCTTAACCAAGTTAGTATGAATATCATTTGTACTAAGTACCATTTTTCAGTTTGATGAATTAATTGTTATGCCTTATAACTTGTTTTATGCTCCAGCGCAGAGTTTTCATTTCGCTAACTTRCTCACTTCGAAAAAAAAACTGGAAATGGAATTATCATGGGTGAATTGTGGTCAATAGCTAGATTTGTATCCATATTTCATGCGCATTTGAGCTTTATTATCTGGAATTCAACATGATTTATTATGAATTTTGAACCAGTCATAAACCACGATCAAACGATCGCACTTTTGGACTGTGATGTAGCATACATGAATAATCCAGTTTCGAATTCTCCAATGCTCTGTGTTAGCCTCATTCGTGCACAAAATATTCCTAATTGTGAGAATAAAAGTGTGAGATTTCAAATCAATTTCATTCTCTTTTCTTTTCGAATTCCATGCATTTTCTCGGGCTATCAATAAAACAAAAGAATATGTTACTTGGTTTTGAGGCTAACACAGAGCAAACCAGGACTCGAAATTGGAGTATTGTGTAACGGTTCTAACGGTTATAAAAATCCCACATTTGTGTCAACCGCAAAGTATTGGACAAATTTAGTATATGCCTTGTAGAATATTGTTTGACTGGCTTAAAATTCATAATCACACGGATAATGTCAAATTAAAGCTCAAAAGTGCATGATTTATGATATGAATTTATTTTTTACGATATAGTACGCCCTGTCAGCTCATATTCAGATCAACCGGTTGATTGTGCCACTTTTATGAAAGGTCGTAATCTCATAATCGAAAAAGATAGGCGTTGTTGTGCTCAAAAAGTCGATTGATGGACATTGATTGAGATAAGGACTAGGAATTAGAAGCTCAAGCCAATAGATAAATACAGACATGATAAAATAATCAAGAATCTTAGAGTTGAATGCATTTATTAGCCTTATTTGTTTTATTATTGGCTAATTATTATTTATTAATGTCCTAAATACCCTTAGAACTTAGCGTCTATAGTGATTTTTTCCTTGTGGATGTAACATCATTTCTTTCATTTTGTTACTTATAAAGCTAATTCAGGTCTTGCCAGGTACGAAAAACCTCTGATTGTCGTATGGAATTGTAGCTGTTCAAGTGGCAGCTTCAGTGTTTCCTATATTTTGTTGAACGACAATTTATCAGTGCTTGGACAAAGTGTAAAACAAGAAATGTCAACTCTTAAATTGACCAGCAACRATATTCCGAGACAGGTTGAGGGTTTTTTATGCTCATATGTCGCGGCCGTGAAATGCATTGTCCAGTATAAAGTATTAAATATTTTGTAGGAAAACATTTCTAGGMGTGGAACATGAGTGTATGTCTAGACAAAAGTGCGAAAAAATAARAAATATYAATTAAAAATTAACACAATTTAYACRMRMAC